AAATGACAAATGAGCAAAAGTCTTGCTGGCGACAGCCTAGATAAAGTTTGAAAAGGCAACTTCAGTGTAAAAAAGAATCAACTTTTCCTATTATTCATATGGTAATTTTGAAAGCCAAAATCAGTTTATAAAAAAAAGAAAAACAAAATAAAACAGATAGGGAAGCTCCAACAATGGGAGGAGAATAATGCAAAGTGGCAAAAAAAATTAGGACTCTTTTTTCTTTTCTGCATCTGTAAATGGTGGTCTAATACTGAATTCCTCTATACTATGATTAATTCCATTCAACAGTTCTTTTAGTCACTCTATAACCTTAATCCAGTCAGTAGACTTATCGAATGGCTCTCTCTCCCCTTCCCACTGTGCCCACAAACAAAACCCACCCAGTGCTGTAGAGGATGCTACAGTAACAGACAATGTCTAATTTTTAATACTGGGTTGGCCAAAAAGTCCATTTATTTTTTTCCATAAAATAAAAGGCACATTTTAAATTTTCACCAATAACTTTATTGATTTGAATATTTTGAGTATGTCGGCTCTTCCCTGCTATTGCCTTCTAGTGGGTAGAGGCCAGGGGTGCTGCTAAACATCTTCCAGTGCATCAGCTCCACAACAAACAATTATTTGGCCAAAACATCAATAGTACCAAGAAACTTCGCAAACCACTTTTGACATACCTGATCAGTCACAACACCTTCTCCATACACTGCACACATCTTTTTTTGTGTTTCATTGCATTTTTACCTTTCTTGAAATAATAAAGCATAACAAGCTGAAAGTGTTGCATATTTTCTTCCACCTTCAATATTAAAGTGGCTGTACAAAAATTCACTAATTTTGAGAAGTTTTTAAAAAATGCACACTGGTATGACAGTTGTCACAATACGATCTAACAAAATAGTTTCAAATGAAGTTAAAGACAACTAAGCACTACTAAAGGACAGCCATTGTACGGAAAAAAACTAAACAAACTTTTCTGGCCAAGACAATACTTTGTCAGAAACAGACATATGCACTACCACGTGGAGCAGTCAAGTCCTCAGGTCCTAGTAAAACACACGTGTTCAAAATCTGCCTCTTCACGTGACCTCCGTAAGGCTAGTCAACTCCTGTCTCTGTTTTTTGGTCTGGTTTTCAATCTACAATGATTATGAGTGTCTATCCCAAGGGTCCCATGAGGACGACGTGAGATCAGATATGTAATATTTGGCGCAGTGCCTGTGCCACAGTGAATGCTCAGTCTCTGTTAACCATAATCATTATAAAGATGGAGGGCACAAGACAAGATATCATCAGTCCCACTCTGATAACCACTGTTTCCAGCCTTCACCACAGTAAAAAAAACTTCTGATAATCACTAATGCAATCATCTTAAAATCTAATCATTTCAATGCAAAAACTATAGAGGTGTTGACTGCCACGTGTGGAGTGGTGAAGGATCACCACAAAGGGGTAGCAGAAGGGAATTGTAACTGTTCTGCATCCTGGTTGAGATGATGGTCACATGATCAATGCATTGGTCAAAACTCACGAAATTTACACCTAAGAGTAACTTCTACCACATGTAAAGTAAAAGTATTTTTAAAGCTACAAAACAAAAAAATCCATTTTTTTCTATCTTGAGAATAAATCAAAATAATGACCAAAGTGAATTTTTAAATGCTGTAACTGCAATATCTATATATTATCCTATGATTAATATAAGGCATATTCAATTTTAGTTACTGGCTCTGATTTACTCAGGCACAAAATGTCAATACCATAATAAACATGAGGCACTGCTTTGCTAAAATAGAAGCAAAAAAACTTTGGAAATGTACCTACATCAACATTAGATATGAGTGGTACTCTCCATTTATGGACAAAAGGGAGTTTTATGACATTTTAGGATTGACCTCATAGATCTCAACTTTACTGCTTAATGAGTAGGTTACCTAACATGCATGAGTTACTATTCTCAATCCCTAAAAAGTAATATATAAATAGTAGACTTTAAATATTTAATAAAGCTTAAAATAACTAGACATGTACTCATCAACAGATAATCCACTAAAGAGTCAGTGCATACATTTTGCATTTTTAAAAAGCTATGACGTTTTACTCAGAAAACAATTCATAAACTGCACAATGGCAATGGTAAAGTCCCAATACAACTGTCACCTCCTGGTTTCACTGTATGTAGAAGGTCTGGCCACTGAGTAATGAATCTTTTTTTTTTCCTAAGTCAAATAAACTGGAGAAAAACAAGGCAATGTGAAATGAACACTGTGAAAATAAAAACAACCCAAATGCCCTTCCACTGGTGACGGTAAAATAAATCACTTTATTTCCATGCAGTGAAATACTGCTGAGTGATTAAAAAGCAACAAACTGTTGATACTTACAAAATCAAAGATGGCTCTCAATTACAAGCGAGATAGGATCCTCCACCACCACCCATACCACCCCCTCCAAAAATCCAACTCCTACAGTAAGATTCCATCAGATAAAATCCTAGGACTGGTAAACTTATCTAGAGTGACAGAAATCAGATTAGTGGTTGGCTAAACGACAGTGGCTAAGGGATTACAAAGGACAAGAGGAAACTTCTGGTGGTGATGGATAAGTTATTTTTATTGTACTGATAGTTTTCACTGGTGTATACATCTAAAACACATCAAATTGCACACTTTAAATATGTGCAGTTTATTGTATGACAATTATACCTCAATAAAGTTGTTTAAAAGAAAAAGACCATTAAAAAAGTACATCTTTGTGCTGGCTCGTGTGGCTTAGTGGTCTGAGTGCCAGCCTGCAAAATGAAAGGTCGCCTGTTCGTCTGATTCCCAGTCATGGCACATGCTTGGGTTACAGGCCAGGTACCAAGCTGGAGGCCTACAAGAGGCAACTAATCGATGTATTCCTTGCATGTAGATGTTTCTCTCCTTTTCACCCCCCCCCAAAGTAAATAAATAAAATCTAAAGAAAAAAACAAACAAAAACAAGCATCTTCTTGGCCTGGGACAGGTACAGCTCGAAGATAATGCAGGTCAAATTCCAGACCACCAAAATAAGCATGTACTGCAATAAATCAAGTCATGATTTTTTTGCTGGTGGAAAATTTTGTCTTCCATTTGTAAAAAAAGCAACAGTATAAAGACCAATTACATGAACCTCAATAAAACAAGGTATGCCTGTATATGAAAAACAGAAGCAAAGAACATTGCACTTATATAATGCTGTCCTTCTGCATATTCATAGGATATAAATATTCACTATATTGTGTAACACTCATATGAAGCTAAATCAAAAGCAACAGGGTCTTCATTTTTCTTTTCCCAATTAATAGATGGAGACAGAGACAGAAAGGCTGGACAACTTGCTTAGGACATAGACTAAGTAAATGCAAGTTAATTGAATACTGATTCACCACATTCCCAGTCCAATTCTCTTAAATGTCTTCAAATTCAACATACAACAATATGGAAAATGTAAAAAAGTCCTTTGCAGTTTCTCTAATATCTTGCTGATTTCTTAATTCCATTCACAGATTTCAACCTCTGCTGATACTGGGCTGGAGCTTTTTTTTTAAGCTCTCCATGTGATTTTCATGAGTAGCAATATTAAGAACTCCAAGATAAGTCAGATTCAGATTTCTCACTAAAGGAAGACAGAAGAAGGCAAGGTGCCACAAAAAGCTCTGGTAAACCATGGCCCAAGGCTTTCCAAATCAATATGGAACTGCTGAACACATGCAGGTTTTTGAGTTCAACATTTAACAAATTAAAAGTAAAAATATACGCACAGGTGTTGTCATAACAGAAGTTACAAAACAAATTCTCTTCAGACTAAGAAATTCTCTTCAACTTTTTAGAATGCTAAATTGGCATCTTGACATCCAAAAAAGCACTGAAAAATGTGCCATATGTCCCCTGCATTTAAAACACGTAATTAACTGACGATATATTGTGAACTGTTTAAGCAGCACAAATGGAAAAGAGACCATCTTTATCTTTAGTCAGCGCCCTGAATGAGTGCCCACTACTCTTTAGGATGGACTTCTTCAAGAGGATTCTGACTCAGTGATTCTTAGGATGGGGTCTAAGACTGCATTTCTATCAATTACCCAACTGACATCAATGCTGCTGGTAGGCAGACAACTTTTAGACAGCGAGTCCCTAACTAACTACAATTATGGTTATGTATAGGTTCCAGGATACACGTGTCAAAAGGGGGAAAAAAAGTGGCAGGTTGTGGGGGAAAGTAGACGGAGCAAGTGCATACTTAAATACCTGTATCGTCTAGCAGTGCTAAGCACCACAGAATATAGACATACCTCATTTTATTGCACTGAGCTTTACTGCACGTCACAGGTACTGCGGTTTTTTGTTTGTTTTTGTTTTGTTGTTATTGTTGTTTTTACAAATGGAAAGCAAGACCCTCGACAGCAAAATGATTACAACTTGCATTTTTTTCCTGACGACCTACATGATTACGGTGGTTTGAAGCCAAACCCTCAATATATCTGAGGTATACCTGTACTATTACTTGCACCAACCTAGTAGTTGTTAAGGTTGATAGAACGTAAATTTCATGAAAGAGTTTTTTCAATTTACTACAGCATTCTTATGGTCTGCAACACATTAGATATTCAATAAATGTAATTGAATAAATGAATGAATACATACAAACAACCTGTATTTACATCGCAACCCAAAAACGTTTGCAAAGGGGGCTAAATATGAGTATATAGATGTTTAATACTAATAACCGACTCACTCGTATTCCATTTTGTCCTTAAAAAAAAAGTAACTGTAAAACGTTAAAGCTCAGACTTCCCGTACCCTTATGTTTAACGCCTTTTTAGTTCTTCGAAGACAATGAAGAGGTGGGAGTACAAGGAGGATTCAGCAAAGGCTCAAAAACCAAAAGGGAAAACAAACAAACAAGGGGAGAGACGGGCAAACAATTCAGTTCAAGTGAAGGAACATCTTAAGTTGTCAGGATTTCCACGTTCTTACCTATGGTGGTGGCAGAGTTTGGGTTCGGGCTTTTATTTGTTTTGTTAGTGTCCAGGGTCACTGGTGTAGTAGTATCTAGTTGTGGAAAATCAGAATAAATCACCTCAAAAGCTTTGGAAATTCATACTTGAGGTTCACTTTGCCCTTCCCAGCGTCTCTCCGCGCGCTCAGTAATGCTGCCAGCGCTCAAACAAAACGTAACTTGGACAGCGCCTCTCAAGGTTTGAAGCCAGCTTGAAGCTACTACCAAAACTTAAGATGGCGACAGAACACCAGTCAAGGAGCCTGGATATCGCCACAACTCTGCCCAAAAGAAAAATGGCCTCTACCCACGATCTTGCGTCCTTCAAGAAGGGACCAAAGCAAAAATGGCGGCAAAGGCGGGCTATTCAGCGTCCGAGAACGCAGTGGATACGATTGGCAGGTGATGAATCACGGTTACTTACAGTGTTTAACAGAGGAGATAATTGAAAGAAAAATAGAACGCAACACTTCTACAGTAGAGTGTTTCTTGATACTGGATGTACAAGGATGTAAACATTCTTCGTAATCTTCGATTGGGAAAATTATATAAAAGATAGGTTTGAAAGTAAAGGTGGCTTTTACAATGTCGGATAAACTTTAAAATACCCATAAATATAACTTCCTCAATAATTCCTTAGAACGGTAGAGGAGATAAAAGTTTTGTCCTACAGCTAAGTAGCAAAACTTCCGATAGGGAGCGAGGGTAGAAGAGGCTGTAAGTGCGATCACTCGCACTGCGCATGCCCGCTTTCCAACCCAATCCGGAGTAGTGGTGGTAGTCCTTTTCTCCTGGTTTTCACGTCAGCCATAAAAGGAGGGGAATTGGCGCCGAACGACAGAATCAGCTTTGTGATTGGTCAGATCTGGGAGGCCAGAGACACTGGAAACCTTTATTTTTTTATTATGGGTAAGTGCTTCTAAAACACATATCATAAAGAAGGTACTGTGTCAGTCTCGTGTATTATTTAGATTTTTTAATTTCAACAATTTACTGAGATTGATGCCGAATAAACCCTGTCCTCGGAGAGTTACGCTAAAAAACCCGTCCTGTATTCCTTCCGGCCAAGGCCTCTGCTTCCACGGCCGGCCGGGAACTTATCTAAAACCCGGAGAGTGAAATGTAGCGCGAAACCGGCAACAATCGCTGTGCTAGGTAAGCTCCGTCTCCTAGCACCAGTGAGGGGCGCATGGCTGCGTGAAGCTTGGCCTCTGCGTCGCGGTGGTGGCAGCGTCCTAGGGAGGCGCGGCGTCTGGTGGGCAGGTGAGACCGCTGGAATCTCAGGTGGAAAAGCTAGTTTACCACCGGGCCGAAGAGTGGTGACTTGTAGGTGTTCCTCTTCCCCATTCCCAGAAAGGTCACGGGTGTCCTCAGAAGGACATTTGGGGGCGGGGATAAGAAGGTTGGCTCCAGTGAAAGCTAAAGACTTACCTTTAAAAAAGCTGTAGGCAGGCCCTGGTGGGGTGGCCTAGTTGGTTGCAGAGTGGCCGGTACAACAAAAAGGTTGCGGTCAGGGCTCATGCCTAGGTTATGGTTCCATCCCCCGTCGGGCACCTCCTGGAGGCGACCAATCCATGTTCCTCTCTCTCTAAAATCCATAAACATACTCTCCAGTGAGAATTTTTTTAAATACTTGTTGGTGGCAAGAATATGGATGGCGAGAGTTTGTTCAATATTGTGGGTAGAGTTCCAGGTGTGGAGCCTCCTCACTGTCCCATCTGCTCGGCCACACCGCGAAGTAGTTGGAAAAGGTTTGCCAGTGAAAGCACCGGTTGTCCTTGCGCTGCCACCTTCTAGCAGGACCCTGTGACTCGTCGGTTAGTCCTGTTCCTTTGGGGTGGCACTGGCCGCCTGTGTCTATCTGGGAGGTGGGAGCCACCCTCTGACGTGGAACTGAACATCGGAACCGTTGTACAGCTAGCGTGATAGTGTCAACCGTGTGAAAGCAGAAGCAGGACTCAGCGCCTTTGAGTTTACAGAAATTGAAATCCTTTTAAAGTGTAGACCTTCTGAGGTCATATTCATCTTTCTTCCCAAGGAGACCATGCCCAGATCCTATTGCCGTTTTTTCAGAAGTTCTCTATTTGCAGTTTCATTCACTCATTAACATTGTCAATTTATCCATACTACACATAGAATACCATATTTTGCCGTGTATAATAGGCACTTCTTTGCCCAAATTTTTTAGGGAAAAATAAGGATGCACATTGTACGCGGATAGTACCTGAAATACCTTGTATGTGTTCTTGTGTTTTGTAATTATTTGCTACATAAAATTTTGTGTGCCATAATATGTTCAAAAATAAATGCTAAAATTCCTTTATAATACACAAAACAAGTATCTAAATAAAAATAAGTAATTAAATTTAAAAAATGAAGATTAAAGGGTTTTTTTCCTGAAAATTCGGGCCAAAAATGTGGGTGTGCATTAAACCTTGGAGCACATTATACATGGCAAAATATGGATATTTAATATATATACTATAGAATTTATATATACTGCATATGTATACCAATATATAACTCTCGCTGTACTGAGTTAGCAGATATAGCAGTGACCAAGGCAGGCATGAAGCTTATATTCAGGTGATAGGAAAAGAAACAATAAACAAGCCTATTGATAAATGAATGAGATATTTCCAGGTTTTCTTCCTAGGTTGAGTTTCCTAGGAAGCAGACTCTCAAGAAACTTGAGAGCAGGAAATTTATTAGGAAGGACTTTTGGATCATTAATTAAGGAAGAAAGCAAGCAGGATTGGGTAAATAGAAAAAGTTGAGTTGCTATGCAGTCCCAAGGGAGGACCCCCCCACACACACACCTGTATCACAGGAACATGGGCGCTTGATTGGCCCTTCAAGACTGTCCAGAGTTGAAGGGAGGAGCCAAAACCTTGAAGGGCAGAGCAAACCCTTCATACCCCTACATTGATCAGATGGATGCCTGTTGCCCTGGAAAGAGGACATAACTTCAACTCTTATTTTTTTTAAGATTTTATTCATTTATTTTTAGACTGAGTGGAAGGGAAGGAGAGAAACACTGTTCAGTTGCCTTTTGCACGTTCCCAACCTGGGACCTGATGCAAAACCCAGTTAGTTTCCCTGACCGGGAATCGAACCAGCAACTTTTTGGTTCGCAGACCAGTACTCAGTGCACTGGGCTGCACAAGCCAGGGCTTCAACTCTCTTTAGCATAGTTTGTCCTGCAGGAGACTGACCATTGAGGCCTCCCTCAGCACTTCCAGGAGCTAAGGAAGTGTCCCATTCTTAAGGGGAATCGGGGTGGCACATCACAGCATTCACTGCAAAGTTAGGCCTTTGAAGGTAATAGGGAGATGTGCTAAAGAATAATGGGGGTGAGAGAGGGAAAAACTTTAGAATAGGGGCTCAGAGAAACGCTCTTTGAGAATATAACCTCTGCGCCAACAGCCAAAGCACTGGAACAAGCCACCTTGTATAGAACAAAGGAAACAGGACTTTACTTTCTGCTCTGCACTGAGAATGTAGCAGAGAAACAAAACAAATGACTGCTACCTTATGTTACAGTGGGTGGCAGTTACCATTTTTTATAGATACTGACACCTTGCAGTAACTAAAGATGGAGTAAGTAAAAAATGGATTGAGGCTAATTCAGAAAAAGAGGAGAAGATGAGTTTGGGAAAATTAGTCAACTTGGTAAAGACTTTTAATCTATACGGTATTTTTTTCCTCCTATAGAGCATTTAATTGTGTCTCAGTAGGATCCTGCCTTTCTTTTCTCAGGGCTATATTCCCTGGGAGGTCGGGAACTATGCCTTATTCATTTTGGTAGTCTCACCTCTGCACCTTCTCCCAGCCTGAAGTCTTGCTAATACCTAATCAACACTAAACATTTGAATAAAATTAATCTCACACATATTTGAAGTGAAAATCAATAATCCCTAAAAGATATAAATACTGTAAATATGACTATTTGGACCTGTCTTCATTAGTCCCCAGTTATATGTTATAACCAAATATTTGTTGAAATATTAAATGTTAATGTACAGTAGCTTTGGTCAAACAGGAATCTCCAGAGGTGACAATTTTTGTATGTGATTTGTATGAAAGATAATATACTTTCAAAAATAATAATAGCAGCTACATATTAAATACTTTCTACATGTTAGGCACTGTACTAATAAATACATAAGTATACATATGGTAATCTTTATTATGTAGCCCTATATCACAGATTATAAAACTGAGTCTGGAAGAAAGTAATTTGCCCAAGATCGTAACTAATTTATGGTGGAGGTTAGAAATTGATTCCCATCATTACTCAAAGCCTCATCACACTAGTACTCTCATATTTAATTAGTAGGCAACTTTATTAACTGTTTTCAGTGAGACAAATGTGAAATTATTCACCATCTTTGCTTTTTACTCTGTCCCTGAGTATTCCTGTTTTCCTTCACAATTAGCTTTCCTAACTAACTTTAGGAGCTTGTCTCTTACCTTTCCTATAACATTGTGGAATCTGACTATAGGTCCACCTCACTCTAATCAAAAGAGCCCCAAAGACCTCAGAACCTCTCTCTTGAGGATCCGGGTATATTTATTGACATCTAAGCTAAGTGAAACTTTCCAGAGAAGTGGGTCTCCTTCAAGGGGACCACTTCCCTTAGCTATTCCAGTCCTTTCCTCCAGGTTGACCCCCAGTAATATTTTTTCCTTTTAAAATAACCATAATAATAATAGCTAGCAATCACTGAGTCCAGACTAAGTGCCAGGTATTGAGCCAACTACCCAATAACCTTGTGATGTGGAAGTCATTGTTCTCATTTTACAGATTATGGAATAGGCATAGTGAGGCTAAGTGACTCGTCCAAGGTCACACAGCCAGTTGTAAAGTGGTAAGGTAGTGGCTGAAAGCCTAGGCAGTAGTATTCCACAACTCATCTCCTTAACCACTACAGGACATTCTTACCAAAATAATTGGCTGTGCTTTACCTTCTGATGCTGGTATGGAGGAACTAGATCCTGATGAGCTTTTATGCTGTACTAAGAAATTTATACTATACTTCCTAGTCAGAAATGTCACTGAAGACCTTTAGGCAAAGCAGCAACAAGACCAGATTTGTTGGGATTTTTTGCAAGATAACTGTGTTAATAATTTAGAGAATGGATTAGTGGAAAGTAAACTAGAGCAGTGGTTCTCAAACTTTAGCTTCAGAACTACCTAACAATTTGTTAAAATACAGATTACTGGATCCCATCCTAGAGTTTCTGATTTAATAGGTCAGGGGCAGCCCAAGAATTTGCATTTCTAATTAAGTTCCCAGCTGCTGCTACTGCTACTGGTGAGGGGACCACACTTTGAGAACCACTGGACTAGAACTGGCCAGGAGGTAATGTGAGGTAATCAGGTCTATGACTCTGGGGAGAAGTTTCATTGAAGAAATGCCACATCAAGTGGCTTGTTGAGTATAAGGAAAAGGGTAGAGTTTGCCGTATCCAGACTTCTGAATTGAATGAATTGGTAGGTAATGCTTTTTTTTATTCTAACCAAAACAGGAAATACAGATTGATCAGCAATTTGGGAAGGAAAGAGATGTATTTTTACATCATTTAGAAATGAGTTTAGACTCTTTATGGGCACAGCCAGGTAAAGGTGAATAGTAGCAGTTCGATATGCCGAGTCTAAATTGGAGAAGTAGATGGAAGAGTAATTAGTAGATGTGTTAAAGTAGAAGCTTTGAATGTGAATCAGACAACCCAGGAAGCAAGAACAAGGGGACAAGCTGGCCGAGGACAGATCTTTAATAAGATTGAATAGGTAGATATAAACTGAGTGGCCATTGTAAAGGAGATTGAAAATGAATAGACAAGAATCCAAGTACTTGAAGAGTTTCAAGAACACATCAAAATGCGTAGAAAGATCAAATAGGGAGAGATTGGTGATCTTTATAGTCAGAGCAGTT